CCCCCCCCCCCCCAAGCACGACTGACTTCAAAGCATTCAGGCGTTCTCTCATCAATCTGTGTACAACTGTCGACACGTGCGCCAACGCACACACCTGCTTGGTTTCGGCGAGAAGAGTCTCGGTCTCAGTCCTGGACGCTTCACATGCCTCCAACGCCTCCGACACACGCTGCAACTCCCCCTTCAGAGACTTCATCTCTTCCTCGGCAGCGGCTCGCGCCGCCGCCACGGCCTCCTCACTCGGTGAATCAGCGCCGGCGCTGCCTCTGTTTGCTTGTGGGTCGTGGCCTGACGCCGCCGCAGCTGACTCGGCCTGGTCCCGTAGGGTCTTTGCCTCCGCCTGAAACGTACCAACAAATTGTTGGGCGAAAGTTGTCGGCTTAGTTTGCACACGGTGTGCATTTGTACCCGAAGGGCGTGCAAAAACAAGACATGCAGCGGATCCTACCCCAAGCAGTCCAACGTAGTGGTGATGTCATCAAGCCCCAAACCTGTCTTCAGCAAAAAAGAGGCCTCTGAAATAGACGCGGGACACAACAGACTGTCCCTCCCCGATGTCCGGGTGTCCGAAGGCAGAGGGAAATCCCGCTGCTGGCAGACTGTACGCTGTCTGGGATAGGAATGGAAATGTCATTATTCAACTCGAGTTCAGAAACAACCTCGGACAGCGGAATGAATCCACACAAAAAGAGAAGTCAAGGAACATACTACGCACCCACAAAACACCATGCCGTGAACGAAGTAAATGGACAAACATACCAAAGGCAAGACAACCACAACGCACCTGTGCCGCTTGGAGCTCCTCGTCTTTGGCCGCTAGCTTCGCCTGTAGCAGCTCCTCCGCCCGCAGCAACCGCCCGTCTCTGTCCTTCACCTACAGTTTTCCAACAAGACACGGCCACAACAAAGGAAAGAAGGGACCGAGCGGTCGACAATCATGACGCCGAGACATGTCCTAATAGAAACCAGAGGAGCCCCCATCCAAGGGTACAAAGCCGCGTCCCCTTTCAAGACTGCCACACGAGCGTTCGTTCGGCCGGGCCGCGCGAGGACTGGAGCCTAATGCCCGCCTCATCGGCAGTGACGGGCAATCAAAACAAACAAGGGACAGCATGTGGATGGTTCCAACAATCATCTTACAGAGAAAGCGGGTCGAGTCCCGCAACATCGGTCTCAGGTGGTGGTCGGGGTGCTCAACGGGACAGGCGGAGTTCTAGGGGCGACAGCAGCTTTGTGCTTATTGTGAGCCCCGAGAGAAGCACAGATTCCTCAACAACGGGTCGTCGTCTTCCAACCAGCGTCAGGGGGGTGACCCGCCGACACCAAAGAAGCAAGGTAGTGTACCGCTGAGAACGCACACGCGTCCCATCATTTGGGAACCACCTCAACCCTATAACCAAGTCTGGTCCGGCGGGACGAAATGGCAGTAGAAGCAAATACAGAGGCCCAATTAAAAAAATCGCACCAGCCTGCCTCTCTACATACGTGCAAGCACAGACCTATGTGACCCCGGTTGGGTCGTCTAGCTAGTAGAAGTGGAGGATGGGGGCCAGAGGGGCAGACGACAGAATCCGATGATGGGAGAAAAAAAAATAAAATACCTGGTCTTCGAGGACCGCCAACGTCGCCGTTTTGTCCCTATTGAGCTTCTCCACGTACGCCTTGGTCTTTTCTTTCACCCCGGCCAGGACGTTGGACTTGTCTTGCAGCTCCTTCGCAAGCGCCGCTTTCTCCTGGGAAAACAAGTTAAACACACCGCCACCAAACATCGGGCAGGTCAGCAGTGCTCGCAACGAAAACGTGATCAATCACATTGCAGCTTGTCCGGGCCTCGTGAAGGCGGGAAGCAAGGCGACGTATCGTGCAGACACTGCTGCTTTTCTCCCTCATTCTTTCTCATGACCCTGTCCTTCGACCTCACCACGATGGCACATCGAGCTAGCTTATCGGGAGGCAGCTCGTTCCCTGCGCGGGGGTTAACTCCTGAATAACGGTAACCGATACGAAACACCCACTTACAATCGGTGCACGGATCCAGAGTAAAACTACGGGAATAATATTTGAAAACTATGTAGCAGTGAGCGGAGAGGTTCTGTGAGTTGAACGATATAACTGCTGATACGGGAACGAATATCGCAAGCGCAGCTAAGTCGTTTATACGCAGCAGCAGCAGGAGCGCCCGAAGCCTGAGACAGTCCAAGCCTTGCGACATTCATCAACATCATCATCATGATCGTTCACCTCGTTCAGCTTGGAGATGTACGCCTTCGCCTTGTCTTTGACCATGGCCAACTCCTTCCGGAGGGCCGCCGCCTGCTGCCAGTATCAGGGGAGAATGAGAAGGCCACGACGAAGAGAACGATGTAAACAGATTATGCCACACGTGTGTGAATTTTTATGTGTGATCGTCGCGGTGCCCAGGCTTTTCACTTGAGCAAGTATTGACGAACGGTTTGATTGGCTTCAATTTCGTGATATATTTCCATGTTTCGTTCACAAGAACAGCACTGGGATGGGTACTCCACGACCAGGACGATAAGAAAGTCAAATGAGGCGTTTTTGGAGCGCTCCCGACGAGACGGCAGTTCCAACGCCGCCTGATATTTTCAGCACCGCCACTCGTTTCTGCTGCGGGGTAATCGAGCCTCGAAAACTGAAAACCAGTCCAGGCGGTGAGATCGATCTCCTCTAGAGCATGACACGGAGCGGGGCACGTGTTTCCAAACGAATATATTTTACGATGCAACCACCCGCAAGAGAGAGCGCATAGACGATAGGGCACGCGGGCTCCCCCGCCGGCAGAACCGTAGTGCTTCTTGTTGAAAAGACGCCTGATGCCGACGCATGGGCGATGGAGAACGACCGCCGGTGGGTGGGGCCAAGCGACACTACACACACCACATCTCCGCGAACTCAGTGAAAGAACCATTTTTCTGCATAGATCAGCGTATTTGGAGACGAAGCACTTACGTGTGTGCCACTGCTTCGTAACGATCACTGCACTCGAGCTCGATCGCTCGATTCCTTTGGAAATTCGGAGGCGCAGCAGCAGGTAAAAACACACACACCGCCGCGCCACCGCCGTGAATTCTGGTGGAAGTTTCATGCAGTCCTGTCCGAAGAACATCCCTGATGCTCTGAGCATGATATCAACAACATCAGCGTGCACACGGCCCCTGCTGCTCACAAGTGAAGGAACTAAGCGCACGGCATCCACTCAAGCACGCTCCACCCCCTGAGTGGACTGTCCTGCACGGCTCTACTCAAGAATAGGCGTCGTTCCTCACATCTGGCTCTGCCATTGGTGTCGTGTGGCTTCGTCCCCCGATGCGGTGTGTTTTCGCTCTCGTCACAGCAGCACGTTTCTCGTCCTTCTCACACCCTGCTCTTCGCAGCAATCTCCTCCTGGCCTGTCCCAATTTCTACCAGGCAGGCAGCACAAGAATGCTGGACTGGACGTGAGGCACCCCAGAGCGTCGCGACTATCTGCTATGCGCGAGGCCGAGATGCATGCCGCTCCGCCGCTCCTGCCTCTCCAGCGAGCAGAGAGCGGAGGGAGCTGAGCTTCGCATCGGTACCCCCACATTATCCAGATCGCGGCACCCCCGGCGTTGCTTCTCGGTGCTCCAAACTCGCGAAGCTCAGTCGGCGTTCCAGCTCAGGAGCGCTGCCGTGAAGCTGTGGTCCATGGCGGAAGGAAGGGGTCATACGGCGACGAGCATATGCTACACCTTGGTTCTTCTTGCAGTGTTGGTGGCAATGGCGAGCAGCAGCGTCAGTGATGCACACCGGCAGCCTGCTTGCTTTTTGACCCCAACATCAACCTCGACTCCTCTCTGCAGCAGCAGCAGCAGCAGCAGCAGTAGCAGTAGGAGGCGTCCGGCTGCCCGACATCCTCCATCCGGCTCCACCGACTCTGCAACCACCGCGGCCGGCCACTACCACCGATGTCACCTCTCGCTGTCGTCGAGCCCTTTCGCCGAGGGCGGCCCATGGTGGTCTACGCCCAGCGGTGCTATCCGACGACGCGAGAGCTTGCTGTTGGCGGCGAGACCACGACCGGCCGTCCGCCGCAGCACCACAACCGGCGGCGGTGCCACCACCACCGGCAACCAAGACATCGGCGGCGGCGTTGGCGGTGCGTTTCGAAGAAGCTGGAGACGTAGCTGCGGCGAGGGTTCGATGGCGGCGATGGTCTCCGCCGTCAGCGAGGGCACCGAAACGCGAGAGGGGGAGGGAGCGGCTGCAGTTGCTGGGGAAGCACGGACCAGTGGGACTAGTGGGACTTGCCGTAGCAGCACAAGCAGCACCAGCATCGGTAGTGTTAACGGGGGGAGGGGAAGCAGGAGGAATAGCGGCGTTGGTCCTGGAGGGGCACATGGAGAAGGGAAACGGGCAGAAAAAAGGTAAGATGTGTAGACCACCAGACAGCACCGCTGCCCACTGTAAGAGGTCAAGGATAAGGATGCCTCCAAGTTGCAAAGAATGTCAATGAAAAAAGGGTGTTTGCCCGACACGAGATAAGGTGCCCCAACCCGGGACTTTGACATTGCAGGGATGACATCCTGCCGCTGACGCCACTTGTAAAAAGGGTGTTTGCCCGGCACGAGATAAGGTGCCCCAAGCCTTATGTACTGACATGTGGTGCCCACATCAAGGGGGTTAGACTTTTGTTTCCATCTGGTCACATGTGTGTGAACATGTGAACACGTTTGCGTGGTGCTTGTACAT